CTGCCCCCCATGTAGGCCCCCAGGAAGAAGAGAGGCCGCAGGTTCCCCGAGAACTTGTCGGTGAAGGTGTAGATGTGGGAACGATCGCTCACGTTGTAGAAGGAGATTTCTCCTGCCTCATGGTCCAGGAAGATGCCAACCCTCCGAGGCCTCACACTGAGGCTCAGAGGGGACACTGGTGAGGTCAATGCTTCGTAGCCACCAGCACTCTGCAGCCTCAGCACCCAGTAGCCGTTGTTGGGGGAGAAGAGGACGTTTCCTTTCCTGCTGGCAGACTCCTGGCACAGCCCCAAGCCCCACTCGGGCTTGTCTCCCACCTGCACCTCCCAGTAGTGGCGACCTGAGAAGAAGCTTTGAGTGCCCAGAACCACTGGGGCAGTGCCAAACCTCCTGGGGTTGTCAAAGAGGGACAGAAGGAGCTTCTTGCTGCCTCTCCTCACACTCTTGCGGTCCTCGGACACGGTGAGGTCAGGGTGTGCTGTCTCAGGGTCCAGGATCACATCCACTGGGGCAAGAAAGGGTGGAAGGACAGACAACATTTGAGGGGTGTGCAGGCCCCATTGCCTGCAGCAGCAGGAGGTTGCTGCGGTCTGGGTTCTGGGCTCTTCCCAGAAATTCCACCTCCCCCAGTTCCTTGCTCGTGGCTGTGGTTTTGCAGAGCTCCCAGCACTGCCTGGCAGTGGGAAATGCAGTATAGGAAATCAAGAAAACCATAAACCACATCAAAAGGTTTGGGGTCTGGCTGCAACACCAGGGCAGAATGAAAGCAGCTGTGCAACTGCAGAGAGAGCCAATACTGAAAGCAAGAGCTCATGAAGCCTGAAACCTCTTCTAGGTTTCACAGTCCCTTCACAATGCCTCTAAGACCAAAACAAGGAAGGTCTCCCCACCACGAATCCAGCCTGAACTCCTCAGTGGACACACTGGGACCAGCTGGACAAAGCTTGTTGGAAAAAGCTCCCTGTGCTCCAGGGTGTCAGGAGGAACCAGAACCCAAATGTGCCTGGAGCAGGCACATAAGCAGCCCCTTACCTCTGAACTTCTTCAGCATGTCCCTCATGCCCAGGCAGCGCTCAGGGATGCTGTAGTTTTCCTTCAAGGACACAGACACAGGCTTGGGGGTTTGGAACTTGATCCCCTCACACCTGAGGAGAGAGGGATACCCATGGGCTGTATCCTGAGCCCACAGCACAGCCCCTCTTCTACTGGGAGGGGGTTAATTCCCTTCTGTTGGCCCCACAGATCCATCCCCTGCCTGGAGCTCTGTGGCTGTGAAGAGCACCATTTGGATATCAGCAATCCTGATGGGACCAGAGTTAAATGATACAGCAGTGCCAGCCCTGGGGAAGGAAGGAGCAGGACCACAGGGTAGCATGTCCCTTAGGAGGGGTCATATCTCACATGATGTGAGGCCAGGCAAGACCTTGGCTCTGAGACTCTGGAAGAAGAGGATAGAGCCTGTTCTCCAGCCCCTGCTTGTCCCAGTCCCTCCTGCGTCTAGCCCAGATGTTGGGCAGGGAGGATGTGATGGCTGGTGTGGACCAGACACAAACATGTCCCTCAGAGCCTGGAGGCAGCCAAAAGCAACCACAGGTACCTACTAGGAACAACCACAGGTACCTACCAAGAGCAACCACAAGTGCCTACTAAGAGCAACCACAGGTACCTACCAGGAGCAGGCATGGGTTCCTACCTGGCCAGGATGCTTTTCATGTCCTAGAAGGAGAAAACAAAAGCCATTCTGGGTGTGTGGCTCCAGAACCTCGTGCCCACCATCCAGCTTGGGCTTGGGCACCCACCCAGGTGGCAAAGGCACTGTGGCTGAGTGAGTGGAACTGGTGGCACAGCCTGACCTTGAGCAGCCCATCAGCTGGCTGCTGGCTCTTCTCTCGGATCTCCAGGATCAGCTCCTCCAGCAGGCACTTCTCCTCCACCAGCCTGGCCAGGTTTTCATTGACCAGCAGCAGAATCCTCTTCTCCTCCTCCTCCAGCTTCTGAAGCAGCAGCTTCTCCTCATCAGCCAAGAGCCTGTGCATCTTCCCAAACTCACTGACAATCATCTCCCGCTTTTTCTTCACCTTCTCCTTGTGGTAAGAAGACACATGGTGGGAAGAAAGATAAGATTAGCTCCAGCTTTCATGCTCAGCATCAGGCGCTGGGAAACCACCACATTTTTGTGGGAAGTTAAAAACCAGCCTGTGCTTCCACCTTGCCTGGGTTCCTGCTCCACATCCTGAGCTTACCAGGTGCAGCATATTGCCCAGGGCATTTGTGCTCAGCTGGACCTCAGATGTCTGGGTTGTTGGGCTGCAAGGAGGTGCCTTCAGGTGTTGGGGGAGGATTTTATTAGGGACAACTCATGCCTCCAGCCAATTCCAGCCTAATCTCCTGCTTGGCCAACTGGAAAAGCCCACAGCAAAGGAAAAGAGGTGCTCCAAACCTCATCCAACTTGGCCTTGGACACTCCCAGCTTCTCTAGGCAACCTGTGGTAGTTCCTCACCACCCTCACAGGGAAGGATTTCTTCCTAATATCCCATCCAAATCTCAGCTCTTCTAGTTTAAAACCATTTCCCCTTGTCCTGTCACATGTAAAGAAGCCACAGGGCTGGGGAGGGATGAAAGGAGGAGCCAGGAAGGTCTCCCTGGGTGTCTCAGCAAGGAGCCAGCAACAGGCAGGGGCTGCCAGTGTTTTATTTTCAACTCCTCTCTAAAAACTGGCACTTTGCTGGAAACCTGGAGCAGCAGGAAGACACCCTAGCTGGGGCTAGGAAACTTCAGAACACAGAAGATAAAGGAAAGGAAATTGAACTCCATTAATTTTTCTGGCCAAGCACATGATTCCCTGAAACTGAGTCATGAAGATTTGATAAGCCAGGACAGTCCAGATACCTTCTCACTGCTCACAAGGGACTTTTTTCCTCTTTTCACTTAAAAAGCCTAAGCAGAGGAAGTTGGAGGCAGCTGAGCCTCAGCCCTGAGCCCTGACTCAGGTGGGTGGGGAACAGTGACACAGCTCTTTCACAGCCTCCATCCCGAGGGACACTCCAAAGTCCCAAAACCACCACCTGGCCGGGCTGCAGCAGGCAGAGGAGCTCAGCAAACAGCTTGGGGAGTGTGGAGAAACTTGTTTTCCCTGCCAAAGCTGGTTAATCATCAGCCCAAATCCAGAAGCTGGATAATGTGTCCTGCAGTTTCGTTTCCTTTTCTGCAGTCAGTTTTCTTTTCCAGCTTTCTCCCTGAGGGACACCAAATACAGCTGTTTGCTGTGTTTGCTCTCCCTGAGACAGTCTGGAGTCAGGAAGAGGTGAAGTAATTCAGCTTGTTTTTTCTCTTAGTGAAAACTTTTCTGGATACTGTTGGTCTCATCACATGGCTCAGCCTGGCTTGGAACTCAGCACATGTTGTAAAACAAAAGGCAATAAAAAATAGCCTCTGTTTGTTTAACAGCACTAAGCCCCCCTGAATCCAGGGAAACTGGCCTGCTGCTCCTTGCAAACCTTTTTATAGAGACACACAGAATCACTGAGCTTAGCTTCCAGCATTGCTCCTACGTCTGACAGCAGGACATGGGGGCATGTCCCATCCTGGAGACTCTGCTGAACTCACAGCACACAGGACCATTCAGGGTGGGGATTTTTTTTAAACTGATGATATCTCTGGAGCACATTGTTTAAGAATTAAGCCAGGCACCTGCCTTGCACTCCTGGGTTTTCATCCTCTCTGCTGACTCACGCTTCTTCACCTCCTCCACCTCCTTCAAGAGGTTCTCCAGGGATCTCTGGAGTTTGATCTGAAAAGAGGACAAACAGACTCAGCTCCCCCCAGGGTGGCTGTGTCCCCTCTACCCAGGGGGAGGGACAATAACCCAGTGCCAGGCAGTGCCAGCCCTGGCACTCGAACCCAGCAGCTGTGCTCTTCACTCTGCTCTCAGTGTTAACCCTCCCTGTGCTTCTCAGGTTTTTCCTGTTTTTTCCACACTATTTGGGTTCTGGAGAGAAAAGTGACAGTTCCCTCTCAACATTGAGGTGAAGTGGCAACACTGGGACATGGGGTTAGAGTACCAGCACAGCTACACTCCTCCATGGAAGCAAAATAACCCCAGGGCAGCACCCACCACCTCAGCTTCTCCAGGAGGTGATGGAGGAGCAGGAAGTCAGGCTGCCCCTGGCACCTGGACAGACAGGATGAGCCTGGATTCATCCATTTGGGAGACAGTAGGTCCAGCCTTATCATTATAGCACGAGCAGCTGGGTGGGTGCCACCCCCTCTGCTCTCCCAGTGGTGTCACCAGGACTAGTGGGTCCAGACCTCCTCGTGCTGATGTGCCACCATCCCTGCCACCCCTTCCCCTGCTCTCCTAGTGGTGTCACCAGGGCTGGTAGGTCCTGGCAGCCAAACCTCCTGGTGCTGCAATGCCCAGGGTGCCTGGAGGCAGGACAGGGACCCCTGGGTGCCCCAACCTCCCCTACCTTGTAGACCTGCGCCGCCTCCTCGATGGGGTAGACGGTGTGCGGGCGGTGGTGCAGGGACTCCCGGCACACCACACAGATAGCCTCCTCATCCTCCTCACAGAACAGCTTGAGTCTCTCATCGTGCTGGGGGCACAGAGGGGTCCCTGGCTCCGGCTCCAGCCCTAGGCCACCCCTGAGCCCCAGCTGGCGGATGCTCTCCACGATGTTGGCTAATTGCCTGTTGGGTCGGAAGCTGCTGCGGTGGCAGGAGGCTCTGCACTGGGGGCAGGAGAAGGGTCCATCAGCCCAAAGCCCCTTGTCCTGGCAGTGCTGGGCGATGCAACCTCGGCAGAAGTTGTGGCCACAGTCGATGCTGACAGGCTCAGTCTCCAGGGCACCTGCCAGGGCCATGGTGGCTTCGCTGGGGCTTCTTTCAGTGTCAGCCAGCAAAGTCAGGCTCGCAGGGGGATGGAGCTGCAGTAGCCCCAGGGCGAGGAAGGAGCAGCAGTGCCGTGAACACCAGCAGTGGTGGCCAGGCTGGCGTGGACACAGGGCTCGGAGGCTCCGTGCGGGCTGGGGGAGGAGCTGGCACGGTCCGGG